CAGCTTAGGCCTGCTCCCCACTGGCAAGTGGACATCCCCCGAGGGCTCCCGGGCTGCCAGAGGGATGTCTGACTGCCAGCTTAGGCCCAATCCCCCGGGGAGCAGGCCTAAGCCAGCAGGTGGTCATCCCCTGTGGGGTCCCAGACTGCAAGAGGGCACAGGCCAGGCTGAGGGACACCCCCTGAGTGCACCATTTTTGTGCATTAGGCCTCTAGTGTATTTGATAAAAAAATATAAATGTAGAAATTCATTGGTATGTATATGTTTACAAAACCAAAGGGGATTGAAATTAATTGCATAAAATAAGTAAAAGTTCAATTTCTTGAGCGTGTAATTATGCATAATTTATTACCATTGTTTTCTATATTGAAAATATCATAATTTCAAATGAAGCAGTGCTATAAATACTAGTAAATACAGAAGTAAAAATTATACTGTAATTGTATTTAACTTAGAGACAAACAGTTTATTTTGACAAATAAAATTATCTATTTGATGGCAAATTCTAATTATTTAATTTGATTGTATTTGCTTTTAGGAATGTGATTTTAAAAAATGCTGTAATGCTGAAACTTGTACATTCATTCCATCTGCAGAATGTGGCAATGGACCATGCTGTGACAATAAAACTTGTCTGGTAAGCTTTCTAAATATAACCGTTTTACCTCATGAAATTGTTGTGTTCTTGTGCTTTCTTTCTGCTTTAGTTTTTTAAAAACTTGTTTGTACACATCTTTCAAATATGCTACTTTATGTACCTATTCATGCACTGTTGGCTTTAGAATTTAGATGATGTCTTTAGGTCTTTTTCTCCCTACTATTTAGCTCCACTACTCATTGTATTGTTTCATTTTCTATTCAAGATCCATCTAGTTATTGCACTCAATACCAATTCCAGATTATTTGGGTGGTCTGAATTCCTAGCGGTGCTGCCTGAGTGAAGCTCTTCATCATGAAACAACTTACGACAAAATTATAAATGAGCCAGCTAACACACAGTTGACATGCAATGCTCCAATAAAAGACAGTACTTTTAAAAGTCTGATTTTGAAAATACTAGAAAAAGGAATCTATGTGGAATATGTAGCATATAAAATAGTGAAGTTTGCCTTGGTCGAGGACTCCTAGCCTAGAAGTGGAGGATTGAATTGATTTCTCTTGGGAAGTTTCCCATTCATGTTTTTTCTCTGTAGCCACATCTGAGAGGGGATTGGTTAGGAGTTGTCTTCTGTGGTTTGCATCATTATAGCACCTCATTTAGTGTCCCTTTCAGGAGTCTATGACAGATATAAAAGTGGATTAAAGAGAGATATTTTCTGTTTCAGTGTAATCTCTCACAACATTATTCTGCTTTGTTCTATATGTGTTCATTTTTACTCTGTGGGTTACTAATTAGAATCAGTGGTCAGTTGTGCTTAAGGCACATGAATGTAGAGGCCAGTGTAGGGCTTCTACTTCTTAGCAGTAAATCTTGTTCCTTTTCCCTTCATTAGAGCTCTCATCTTGACCTTTGTCTCCAAACCAGTGCAATACAGCTTTTCTAAACAGTCCATTGCCATTTACCTACATCCCAAGCTCTTTAAAATGGAGATAATCACTACATTTGGTTGAGTGAAAATCCACAGTACAAGTTGCTAAAAGCTTCAGGGCAAGAGCTAAATGTACTTTGTTGGTTTTCATTAATTTTATATGTGTTAGAATAGAACTTTGCTTTTTCTCTCACTTAAGACTGCTCTCTTTCTTTATTGGCCCTAAGGGTAAAAGTCTTCCTTTTTTCTTCTCTTTTCTACTTTCAAGTAGGCTAATTTACACCAATTCATTTTCAAAATTTAACAATTTTATCTAATCTATACTAATAAAAGCTTAGGTGGCCTTCGTGTGCGACATCGCCACAATATGGCCACCACAAGATGGCTGCCACAAGATGGCCATGCACACAGAGGAGACGTGGCCCGGTGGCCACTTTGCACAGTGAGGCCTAGCAGTTCTGCGGCTCTGGGTGGTGCAGAGGAGGCCAGTCCTTGTGTCTCTGCTGCCTCGCACGGAGGAGGCAGGTCCCAGCGGAGGAGGCAGGTCACAGCAGGGGAGGGCAGTTGTGGGAGTTCAGGCCAGAAGGGGAGCAGTTAGGCTTCTATCAGGCCTGCAGGGGAGCTGTTAGGGGGAGATCAAGCTGGCAGGCAGAAGCAGTTAGGGGCCATCACGCAGGCAGGCAGGCGAACGGTTAGGAGCCAGTGGTCCCAAATTGTGAGAGAGATGTCCAAGGAGTCCCAGATTGGAGAGGGTGCAGGCTGGGCTGGGGGATACCTCCCTACCCCCGTGCACAAATTTCGTGCACTGGGCCACTAGTCTCTATAATAAAAGGCCAGAAGCCATAGTGTCATGACTGAATCTACTGCTCAACTAGGCGCCATCAGGTGGCATTGACCACCTCTCCGTCCCTAACCCCCGGCCCGTGAGCGGCGGCGGAGTTCGACTGGGACTGGTGAGCAGGCTGAATGGCTGACCTCTTGGTCCCTGCCCCCAGCCAGCAGGCTCCGATGAATCAGTGATGGTGATTGGGGGAATTGGGGTGGGTGACGGGGGACCGGGCGGCTGTCAGACTGTTGGGATCACCAGCTCATGCCTGGCTGCTCGGGAGCTCAGGCCTGCGGGAAAGCGTGCACCGCCGACTTCACCTCCATGCGCGTGTGCCGCCCCAGCAGCAACGGCAGCAGCAGCAGTGGTGGCGGTGCCCGCGTAAGTGGCCCCGAGCGGGCAGCGCATTCCATCAGCAGCTGGCACACGCGCATGGAAGTGAAGTCGCTGGCGCACACTTTCCCGCAGGCCTGAGTCCCTGAACAGCCAGGGATGAACTGGTGATCCCAAAGGCCTGACAGCCCAGCGATGGAGGCAGCATATGTCCTGGGGAATGGTGAACGGGCAGAGACGGCCCTGATCACAGGAGGCTAGGCCTAGGGACCCTACCTGCATGATTTTGTGCGCTGGGCCTCTAGTGTTTTATAAATGACATTTCTATTTAGATAGAAATAAATCAAAGTGCAAAGATATGGAAGACAATAATTTAACCAACTGTATTGCTGAAACATAGCAATGAATAACTTGTTTCTAACCAGTACACAGACAATTCTATATGCAATTTAAAAAAATGTAATTGGTACTCTATAATACATGTTATGTAGTGGTCAGTTGTGTCTTTTTAAAAAATTTGTACAATATGATGTTTATTATGAATTTCTTATATATACTTTATGTGTGAAATTTTTAAAGATATGAGCATTCTAACTATATGTGGACTTTAAATTCAAGCTTACTAAAAGTTTGAAATAAAGCTTGCTTCTAATACTATTTTTTAACACCTTAGATATAGTATAATTTTAATGTTATAGTGGAACAACAAAAGTGAAAACTTCTAGATATACAGCTTTTGTTATTTAAATATCAAGGGACTAAAATATCATTTGACATTACATGACTTCACTTTTTAGAAGAATAAGCTGAAGAGTTCTTTTATTTTCTAAATAGTGGTTAAAAAAATACTATCATATTCTGGAATTTGTTTTATAATGAAAATCAATCAAACCATAACCAACACTTAGCACTTTAGTAGTATTTTATTCTATTACTAGAGGCCCGGTGCACAGAATTTGTGCATGGGGCCAGTAGTGTGTGTCCCTCAGCCCAGCCTGCATCCTCTCCAATCTGGGAACCCTAGAGCAGTGATGACGAACCTTTTGAGCTCGGCATGTCAGCATTTTGAAAAACCCTAACTTAACTCTGGTGCTGTGTCACATATAGAAATTTTTTGATCTTTGCAACCATAGTAAAACAAAGACTTATATTTTTGATATTTATTTTATACTAGGGGCCCGGTGCACAAAAATTTGTGCACTTGGGGGGGAGGAGGGGGGGTCCCTCAGCCCGGCCTGTGCCCTCTCGCAGTCTGGGACCCCTCGGGAGATAACGACCTGCTGGCTTAGGCCTGCTCCCGGGTGGCAGAGGGCAGGCCCAATCCCTAAGTGCAGCCCCTGGTCAGGCTCAGAGCAGGGCCGATTGGGGAGTTGGGGCGCCGCCCCGTCATGCACAGAGCAGGGCAGATC